CCGCAGCGAACCAGAGTATGAGTTGTACTGTTTAGTCACTTACGAGATGATGTCGACTTTTTATATTTCCAGTTATTTCAGATTAGTTTGATGAATGAAAGTTTTGTACTATTTTTTTACATATCCGAGTTCTCTACAAAGCAAGCTTCGCTGTACAGTACTCAGCACACTGACGCTCGTTACTGGCTACCGCACTCATTACGACCCCCCTCTCCTGGCGGCCAAATACGACCCCCTGTTGGGGATTCCCCAACCAACGATGTGCCCTGAGCGATGGTGATAGTGGCATTATTTGCGGCAGGAGACGGACAAGACAATCGCAAACTGCCGCGGTGTCGTGCGCGGAGGATCGTGCGCGACACCGCGGCGCGTGGCAAATACACGATATGCACCAGCTTGGCAATTGGAGCACCGGAACTCACGGGAATTTGAGTGGATACCAGACTCAATTCCAAGAGCTATCGATCTTTCCTGCTTCTGAAACGTTTGAACTCAAACAGCTGGGCAAAGTAACTCGTATCTCACGTGAGCGGCACGACTAGCGTGGCATGTTCAGGACATGTGATGATGTTGTGATGATCACAAGGGGGGGGGGGTCGTATCTGGTCGTTGCTGGGACTGCCAAAGATCTATACAACTACTATTTCCGATGGTTGAGAAAAAAAGATAATTAAATCCTGACGACCTCACCCCCTCCACCGCTCGACAGCAAAATTTTGGGGAAAAACCAGAAATTTCTCGGGGAAAAAAATGGATGAACTGGTAGAAGTTGGGAAAATATAGGAAACGACTGATCACAACGCGATGGCCCGCTGCCCTGGGCATATTACGACTGTTTTGTCTCAGCCCCCTTTATCACAGCCACAACGTTCGCGCAACTCTTATTGGCAACTCTAGTCCGTGAAGTTGATGATTTGTTTGTTTACATACTTTACACATTTTAATGCAGTTTGAATGATTCAGTTAGGGAAAGGGAGTCTACATTTGGAAGGCGGGGAAAATTTTTGACAAATTTAGTTTCTAGAAAAAATGAGCGTCTAGAAAGAAAATGAGCTGAGGTCCTAAGTAGCCCAAATCTTCGATGTTTCCTTACCCGAGTATGATTTGTATGTCAAAGACTTTTATGTTCACCCAGGGTCAGCCGACTGGAAGAGTCATGCTAGCTGCGGATGATTGGGCGTGTCAGTGCGGCTAGGTTTGGCGCGCCTCCAGCCCTTTCTCCACCAGCTGTTAAGGCAAGTTAGCGACAATAATCGATGGAAAGTGACTGATTCGAACAATGCGATACAGTCTCGTCGTGCCGAGAGAAGAAATAAAGCAAAAAAAATGGATGGCGGCCCATCCGCCCTTGACGCGTCCCATCTTCGTGGCGAACAAGACTGTACTGTGGGGATTCCGTCCTCCTAGACGAGCCCCCTGCTAGCAGAGGAGGGGTGGGAGGCTAGGTAGGTCCGAACGGGAGGTGATTCGGCGTTTGTAGCGTGCACGTGGGACGCCAGCCAGGGCACGTCGTTCGCTGCCACCCCACCCCCTCCCAACACCCGACGGCAGTTTTTTTTAGAGAAAAAGCGCAGGAATTCTAGGAAAAACTCCGGCTGGAAGTTGAAAAAATTCGGGAAGATGGCAGATTGTAGGAGGAGGGGGTCGTACCAGAGAAAGAACTTCTGAGGGGTTGTATTTCGCGTTCCGTATCACATTACTATGGACCCTTTAGAGTGGGTAAAACCCATCTTATCTAAATTTTTTCCTGTGGCCTTCAATACATAAAGGGCTCATTTTATTTCAATTACCACTCTATGTCAACAAATATACGAAGGGTTTTCAATCACGTTACGTCAACTTTGGATTGTTGTTTCCTTTCATTTTTTCCATGAAGGTGGAACCAGTTTCTGTATTCCGATCGCCTTTTCTGTGTCTAGACCTTCAATAATACTTTTGTGGATGTCATTTACTTTTTTTAAATAGGGGGAGTTATTGTTAAAGACCGTCGTGAAACAAAGTTCTCGCTAATTTTCTGCGGTTTTTAGGAAAACCAAAGTTGAAGCAGGGTACAGAATGTCGATGTCCAGTGCATAGTCAGGGTTTCCTGATGTTTCAGATAGAGTACAGTACGCGGCTCATCCTTAGTTTTGGTTGGGAATTAATTCGATTCACCCTTCTAAAGACAACCTTCAGGGACGGTTCTTTTCATGTATGAGGTAAAAAGGTCCGCAGCTGCGGTAGTGTGCCTCGCTCTCCGCTCAAAAGTTCTCCAACACGTGCTGCAGGGTAGAAGTACCCGAGTGCCGTCCCCGTACTCCTCCCGTATCCTCATATGCAGCACTTGCGTCGAATATCAAGGTCCCGCACGAGTTACGTACTCAAGCGTGTGTGTGAGGTGCAGATTTACTCAGCAGTAGAGAGGCAATGACAAGTGAGACGCGTTGTCTTTGGTTGGGCGCGGGGCCAACCAACACCTTCTACCTAGGAACCGGTAAATTGGTACTGTAGATATTCGTCTGGGAGGATAAAACACTGACTTGTACATCGGCTGGCCACCGCAAGTCATTGTATAGGCCACATCGCATTCAATAAGCCACTACGATTCTGAATGGAAGTAGAATGCCGCATCCCACAAAGGGAATTCGCGGAGACCTTTATTCTTTTACCGCCTATTATCGGAAGGTCGGAGGACAGCTTGTCTTGAAGCGCATCGGCCGTGTGAGGGTGAGCTGCAGATTCAACTTCAGCCTGAGGTTAGTCTCCTACCCGTAACTCCTTGATAAGTCAAAAATTCCTTCAGTGGACGTTACTTTACCTAACTCACCCACCACCTCTTTCCTTTACGCGGAGTAAATTTTAGCCCAACCTTGCTCTGTAGGAAAAACCAAGTCCCCACCCATCCCTGCATACTTTTTTTTTTTTTTTGTTTTTCTTATTTTTCGATAGTAGTGGACGCATAGTGACGTTCACGTTCCATATGATCCCACAAATCTAACTGGCATTAGTCACGTACTGCATGATCAGTGCTGGGTTCCGCTTCGGCAGCCTTCACAGGGGCCTTTCAAGGTCTCTCTTAAAAACGAGAACTGGTGTTTTATATGGACTAGGAGAGATAACACTGGCGAAATGCAATGCAGCCGAAAGCAGCGCCAAAAATAGCCCAGTCCTTAGTACCACGCGTTTCTGGAGATAGCCTTATTTCTTTGCTGTCTTTGATGAGTACTAAATAAGTGACCATTTCAGTGCTAATTACGCGAGATTTTTATTTCAATGAACGAATTGCAGGAATGACAGCAGCACTTTTTCTGTATGTAATTGTCACACTGTTTGTTATTTCTCAACAGGAAATTGGCCGACCACTACAAAGGTTGTCAAGAGCGCCAAGTGATGAATTCATCAGTGAGATTACTATTTTTGGGGCATATTCCAGGCTGAAATACGGGCGGAGTCAGGAATTAATATGGCATGCTTCTCATTGGTGAGTTCTTCCTTCTCAGACATTGAGAGGAACTGAGGACAACGAGGAAGCCGCATTAGAAGAAATAGACATAGATGGAAAAACTGCTACAAAACAGAATGGTACATTTCGCCTGGCTCCACCCGTACGACCAGCCTGGATTGCGCTTTTGAGTGTTAATCTAATTGAATATTAGTATAGATATTGATTTCAGAGGATCGTACTTGGACGAAATTGGCAATACGGCGGATGTGGCAAGAAAGAAAAAAGATGTCTCATACGCCGCTGTTTAAATTTAATGTTGGTTTTGTTTGCGGAGATTTTCTCAATTTCTTTATACCTTTTCTACTCTCTTCTACTTTGTCTTTTTTGTTTCTCTGGGCGAGTAACAGAAGACAAATACTTTCTTCGTGTAACTCATATTCTTATCAAAGCCCGCGCTTTGGACATCTCCCTGAGAACGAGAGGAGGTGGGGGTTGCCGCTAACGAGAATACGCTTCCACTTGCATTGGCCCCTGAAACACTGGTAAAAGTGCATGTCCACACCACCATAGAGGTGGCAATTGAACGGCGCTGTTTGTCGATGGGGGGGGGGCATCTTGTACTGTCATTGCTTCCCCAGTTCCGGTTTGCAAATGCTCGCATCTGTAAAAAACTTGTGACGCTTGTGAATAGCTGGAGCAGGAAGACCGTCTTATTGGCTCGATTCCTAATAACGTTTAAAGAAAGTCAGGATGCCCCCGTCGACAAAACTCGCGCCCACTTGGACTACCATTGTGCCTTAATCGGCCCTCACCTCCGAAGAAAAACACACCAACGAAAAAGGCACAATGGCGGGTCGGACTCCACCTAAATGGTCAAGCTGGGTTTCGATAATGCGTGCTGGAGTTGGCCCTTTCTTTTAGAGGTTTCCTGATTGAAGCTATTTTTCGACCGGGGTTTTCCTGATGCGAGGCGAAAAAAATCACTTGATGTGAGGCAAAAAACCCAAATATAGAGCTTGGAAGGTTTCAAAGCGTGTGTTCTTCGAGAACAGGGAAGTCAGGAGATCTGGGTTGTGAGGGCATGCGGAAGCTATGTCAAAGTAAGTGGCATCTCCCAGATACTTGACTCCTTGCAAAACTTCCTACTTTGAATGAATTAGGTCCTCGTGAGGACGATCTGCAACGCTGCTTTCGCTGCACCGCCGCAACCGCGGATCTCTTGACCCCTACCCGATAGGATACGAGAGCATGATAACTTTTTCATTTCAGTACATAGGACAGAAGAACGTAGATATAATATTCAAAAACGAATCGGCATCACGGTCTGGTTCATTAAAGCATCGCTATGCATGGTCGCTCCTTATGTGGGCTCTAATCGAAGGCTATGTGAAAGAAGGTAATTTAGCACTCATTTCTCGGGTGGCATTTTTCACGCACTGAACTGCCTACTATTAGATTTTAAGGGACACAAGTGTACGAAGCATCATCGGGCAATACTGCCGCTTCACTTGCCTACATGTGCCGTCTTCTTAACGTACCATTCACGGCAATCGTGAGTATCTTATCAGAATTACTTATTTATTCAACTTATTTGTTGTTATAACCTAAAAACTCGCACACAGGGTACAGCATCCTGATGTGTGAAATTGTGGTCCCAGTACGACCCCCCCCCTCTCGAGGGAGGGTCTCGGTAT